GCGGAAACGCTCACGGAGCTGGAGACGAGATCTGCGGATCCAAGGGATCAAGACATCAGGGACGTCACCCTTGGCGCGCAAGGGGAAGACCGTGGTGTAGCGCGAGAAGTCGTCAACAACAATCAGGAAGTACCTCTCCTGACCCTGACCACGGACGCGGGCTGGGCCCCACACGTCCATGTGGAGCGTCTGCAAGGGAGCAGTCGTCGGGGGAAAGGAGGAGGAGTGAGGAGCGGCGCGCTGCCGTCCCTCGACACAGGGAATACAGGGAGGAGCAGGCGAGTCGGGAAGGGGAGGGAGCACCCTGGGAAGACCAGCAACAAGGTCCCGTTTGTGCATGGCCCGAAGGCGCTGCACAGACGGGTGACCAAGGCGGTGGTGCCAGAGGACAGTCTCATGCGTCAGAGAGCGACACGAGCAGGGGGCGGACAGCTGACCTGACGCAGACGCAGACGCGGACGCAGCTACCTGAGGGGAGTCAGTGGTCAGTGTGTAAAGGTCCGACCCCGGCTCTCGAGTGAAGGTAGCCAGGTGGCGACCCGTCCGAGCACACGTGCAGTGTGTCACGCGCTCGTAGGCAGGGGTGAACTGGTGAACACCCCCGTCCTGGAGTGCACTACCTGCCACCAAGTTCGTAGAGAACGAGGGGAGGTAGAGACCTGACAGCGTGCCAGACGGGACCGCCGGACAAGGAAGGACAGTGGAGGAGGTCGCAATGACCGGACCCCCAGAGGGGTCAGCAAGAGAGACAGCAACTGGCCGAGCGAGTGGCTCAAGGACAGTGCGGTCACGAAAGAAGGAGCGAGAAGCACCTGAGTCCAGTGTGAAGGTGTGCAGTGCTGCAGTCGACTCAGTACCAGGGGGGACGGACGCACGAGCACCTAGGGCAGCAGCCTCACCAGGACCTGTGGGAGCAGACGCACTAGCACCTAGAGCGGCAGCCAGACTGGTCTGAATGCCCGGGTCGGGCGGAACACGCAAGTACTGAGCACCCTCTCCACTAATAGACATCGCATACATGGCAGTGAGAATAGCATCAAAGTCTAAAGCCCAAATATCAACACCCCTCTTTTCCAGATCAGCCCAGCGCGGCAGCTCAGTGGCAGCAGGAAACTGAGTGCGCCACGCGTCGTTAAGGCGCGCGAAGCAGCGCTGCGTGGGGTGCGGCCTCCCACACTGCTGGCCGCTGCGGTCACCTGTGCGAATGACGTACGTGCAGATAACGCTACGCTGCGCATACCACTCACGGGCGGCCTGAAGCGTCGGGGCGGGCTGCTGACTCTGCCCTCCGCCAGTGCCTCCACGACCACCACCCCCACCGCCGCCGCCCCGGCCACCTCCACCCCTGCCGCCGCCACGACCACCTCCGCCTCCGCTGCCGCCTCCACCACCACTCCCACCGCTGCTGTCTCCTCCCCCACTGCCGCCACCAGTCTCCCCAGCCGCGCCTCCACTCCCACCGCCTCCACCCCCACCTCCTCCGCCACCACCCCCACCCCTGCCCCCTTTGTTCCTGCGGCGCCCGCTCGAAGCAGACGCGGTCCCGACCTTCTCAGCACCAAGAAGGTCGACAGCAGCAGCAGAGGCGACAGAGGGGAGGAGGGGGGAAGGGGAACACCCCTCAAAGAACGGGGTGCGGGGGTCGCCACGAGAGGTGCCTACAGCGACGATGCTCGCCTCAGCTGCAAGCAGTTCCTTCTCGAGGAGGGCAACAGTGAGCTCAGTGGGGGAGCGAGAGAGGAAGTGGTCCCTGACTGCGCGCAGAGAGTCAGGGAGGCGGGTGACGATGTGGATGCAAATATCCACAGCTCCTGTTGGGCTCTTTTGTAGTCGAACCCTGTAAAGGGGCGGGGTTGGGGTGAAAGCTTGGCCGATGCTCGCAGACACGGGTAGGAATGGGGGGCATTATTCCAACAAGCAGCAGTGAGCAATACGTGCACGGGTCACCCTCGCGGCAGAATTCGGTGCGACAACACACATCAGAACATGTGCAATCGCTAAACAAGACTTACCTGGCAGCTTGTGGTTGTACAACTTGTGCAGCTGGCCGAGCCACCTCTTGAATGTTTTCACGCGCTTCATGTCGTCGGACAAGTACGAAGCTGTCCGAAACAGCTTCGTACCTTCCAGCAGCTGCATGTCGTGCATCCGCCACTCCAGCTCGACGTCAATGGCGCGCACATACTTGATCGACAGCTCGACGCACGCCGCGACATTGCCATCCATTTCATGTCCTGGCAGCGGGCGCTCGTGCAACGTGAATTTAAACAAGACAGGATTTTCATCCGCGTCTACGCCCTCCGCCTTCATCTCGCGCTTATCCTTCGTCTGGTGCCTTTGAATGAAATATGGCAGCTGCATTCTGTCCCCGCTGCTGAAATGGTGGGCAGGGTCGCGGAGAGAATACCACGTCTTCATACGCATCCTTATTTGCTGCACGATGTGCGCAACAAGGGTAACGCCCACTTGCACAAAGGCATTACAATGAGTCAGGTAGTGCACGTTCTTGTTTGCGACAACACAAACGTCAGCACCAAAGGCACTTACCTGGCGCTGCTGGAAGCGCTGGTTGAGGCAGTTAAGTTCCCATATCCGCAAGAAAGCGGATGAGCCAGTGGAACTTGAACGAAGCAACCACCTCGTACAGTTCCGACTTGTAGTCCTTCAGCACCACAATGGCCGCAGGAAGCACGTCGAGCAGGCGCTGTATCGCTTCACCACGGGAGAGCCATCGGACGTCGTTAATCCCCTGTGCCTCCAGATTCGTCTGGCAGTAGATCCGCTGCATCTCGTGAAACTTCTGGTACACCACGCTGCTGCAGCCGATGTGGTCAGCGAAGGCGCGCACGACATCGTCAATCATTTGCAGCTCAGGTACCTCTTCAGCAGCATCACTGGCAGCGAGTGCCTCCCTGTACAGTAGGGCACGTCGATAGAGAACAAGTCAATAACAATTCTTGTAAAAACAACAGCACAAAGCACACAACGGAGATGCGTACGAATGAGCGATACAATTTGTTGAGGCCAGATGCGGAATGCGATTCGCAGCCGTGTCAGGACTCCTCTGTTCTTGCCGATCATCACGCTGGCACCATCAGAGGCGACGCTGGATGAGGCGACGCTGGATATCTTCTGGAGGTCGATCCCGATACCTGTGAGATACTGCATGACAACGGATGTGAGTGAGGCATCGTCAGCACGGTCAACAGTAATGAGTGTCAAAAACTCTGTAACCACCGTGGTGCGCTGGAAGAACGTGGCGTATAAAATGAGGTGCTTCCCATGCACCTGGTCCGTGCTCTCGTCAAGGGAAATCCCTATCCACGGGGATTCCAGCAGGTGCAGACGTTGTGTCTCTTGGAGGTATGTTGAGAGTGCGCACAGGTTTTCTTTGAATCCGTAACTGCCAGGAGAAAAAAAGGTGGTCAAATGAGAGAGTGCATAATATTGAATAAACCAGTTTCACCAACACATGCCACCACTTACTCGGTGTAGTACGCGCCGTATCCGCCAGGGGGAGGAAGGTCTAGTAATCCCTCCTTCGCCAGAAAGCAGCACAGCGGGACGAACATTGCGATGGGTGCGTCCGCCTTGCAGACGAAGAGCGCGATGTGGAGGAGACGGATAATGTGTCGGGTAGAAGCATCCGTGGTCTGCCACCGAGTGAGTGTGGCCTGCTTGGCCTTCTCCGCCTCCGCTTTCTCTTAATTCTCCACCGACTGCTTGTGTGCACGGGTCGAGGAGTGAGTGCGGATGCTGCCTATCTGGAGATCCCGAGCACCCTCACCCTTCGCCCCATACGCGGTGTGCGCTAGGGGATCTCCGTGCTTCACACAAATGGAACACTTCAAGGAAGGACGGCCATTAGACATGCAAAGCAAGCGTAACCATTTGATACTACCTGCCCACTGATCCTCAAATGTCTACTTCACCGATTCGTACTCAGCATCCGCCAGAGCGGTGGGTGGCTTCGGGTCGGCCGAGGAGCAGGGCGTTTGTGTGAAGTCGCGTTTTGGGGAGGAAGGGCGCCCCAGAGCGTCTGCTGCTTGTACGTCGCTCCCACGCGCGGTCGCTTGACGGGCTCGGTGCTGACCGTCGAAGGTGAAGCAGTAGGCGGCTTTGACGAGCCCTCGCCACCTCCGCGAACTATCTCTTTGGAAGGGTGTGGCTCCCACGCCGTGGGCGAGTCTGGCGGCTCGAACGGATAAACCATTCCTACCACACATCTGGTGACGGTTCACGAGGCGGCTGTGCGATGGGCACGGCGTAGTTCTCGCTACGGCGCGGTAAAACGCCTAGCACGGAGAGCCCGTTTCTCGCGCTATCAGGTGGATCAGGCTCTCCAATAGGCATTGTGGAGTTGAAAGTTGAAAATTGGTGAGAATGAGGGACAAGCGAGAGACCCCCTCGTAGAGAACGAGCCTTTGGCAGTCTCGAAAGGGCCGTTTCTTTCATGGGGCGGGAAGTGCATGGCCAGCAGAGCAGGACTGGGCCTTTGGACACCCAACTCTGCTGTGAAAAAGGATGGTGGTCTGGGGCTGTTGCTGTTTTTCTTGCACACAACACTGGCATGGCTAGTTGAGCATCGATGCGTAAATTGCTTTTATAAAAATGTATCACTAATAGTGCCAACATTTTCAGTCCAATTCAAGATGGTTCCAGATGGAAACAAAGCACACTAATCTAGCATACCTAACCCCAAAACCCTGTTGCCATATTGATGAACCTACTAACCAGCATACTAGATACACACTCGTTGCTTCCAAGCCTGAGGCTGGCAAGCAGCGCAACAGGCACAGCCTAGACATCCTACGGTAGCTCTGTGTTTCCTCAACGAGGCGGAGGGGAAGACTAACAGGTAAGCTGCATCGGCGATTATCCAGGGGAAGTTTGCACCAGGTGGCATGTGTAGCTGCCGACAGGCGAAGCGGGGTGATGGTGCCGGGTAGATAAGCGGGTCAGACGGAGTTAGGAAGTTGAGTGTGGCGTGACTAGGGGTTCTAGTCATCCTCGTCGTCGTCGTCAGGCTCAAAGTCTGGATTAAGAAAGACAATAGTGGAAAGTTGATGTTTTTTTTTTTTTTTTTTCCGACAAAAAACACAAGTCTGGATTAAGAACGACAACAGTGGAATGGACGGTGCAGAGGCGATGCACGGAAGGAACGCGCAAGGAAGTTGTAAGGAAGGTGTGAGGAAGGTAAAAAACGCAAGGACGATGCTTGCAGAGCTTGGTATTCATGCTCTGGTCTGGATACAGCATGACTGGATGGAGGAATGCATGCACACAGCAACACATAGCAACCATCACCAGGGATTGGACGGGAACAAATACCAGATGCCAGAAAAGCACACGCAGTGATGAAGTGGGCGTGATGCGGGAGTGAAACAAAAAGCAGCATGAACATGACACTGCCCCCCCCCCCTCCCCCCCCCCTCATCCCCACCCGGCCCGTATCCTCCCCCGCCACAATCACACAACACCACTCTCCCCGTGTCCCACCTTCTGAGTCATTCTCCTCCTCTTCCTCCTCTTCCTCCTCCTCCTCCTCCTCCTCGTCCTCCTCCTCCTCCCCATCCTCGCTTCTGCCAGCGCCCTTTCTAGGCTTTGAAGACGGCCGGGGAGGTGGTTGGGGGGGAGCGAAGGAGGTGGGGCGAGAGGAGCGGCGGCCCCGGGGTGCATCCACAATGTTGCTCACATCGATCCCCTCCAACTCCTTTGCCTTGTCCCTGCGACGCCTGAACGCCTTGATCTCTGTGTGCGTGCAGAAGGGGTTGCGGAGGAAGGGCATGGAGAAGGGAGGTGGGAGGTGACAACGCAAGGAAATATGGTTTAAGATTGAATGGAAAAGGGAGGGGAGGGGGGAGGAGGGGCGGGGGGGTGGGGGGGGTGTCTTCTTTGCAGTGTCCTGGAAAGAAAAAGTGGAGGAAGTAGAGGTGGGGCGAGAGGAGCCGCGGCCCCGGGGTGCATCCACAATGTTGCTCACATCGATCCCCTCCAGCTCCTTTGCCTTGTCCCTGCGACGCCTGAACGCCTTGATCTCTGTGTGCGCGCCAGCAGGGGTTGGGGGTGGGGAGGGGGGAGAGAGAAGGAGATTAATTAAAATGCTATAAATTCTGCACTGCAAATGAAGCTTCACACACACGCATGTGCATCACAAGCACCTCATCCTCAAATAACACATTTCAAAGTGTGACACACTTATAGGCTCTTCCCTTCCGCACTCCCCCTCCCCCCTTCCCCCTTACAGCCTATCCCTGGTGGAGGTGCCTTGTCTGTCCACCAGACACATCACATCATGCCCCCTTCCCTCCCTCCTTCCCTCCCCCCATGCACATCCTAACTACGCCTCAGCACTCTCCCCGTGTTTTAACCCCAAATGGCTGCGAAACAGCCCTTATATACACTGCAGTCATGCAAACCCCCTCCCCCCTCACCCATCACGACCCCACCCTTCCCTGCACACACTACGCAAAGCACCTTCCCTCTCCCCTCATCCCACCTCTCCCCTCTCCCCTCGACCCCTTTCCCTCTCCCCCTGCCCCCCCTCCCTCCAGTGCAACCTTTCTCGGATAAAGGGGAAGAGGTCCCTTCGTGGACCAGCAGTGTCTCCAGCTCCCCCACCAGTGCTGCCTCGTACTGCCCTGCGCACATCACACCAAGCACCTTCCCTTCCTCATCACCCGAAACCCCCTCTCGTCCCCACACACACCTCCGGCCCTGCCCCACCCGCACCCCCCATCCCCCTTCTCCCGTCCCACCTTTCTCAGATGGGTGGGAGGAGAGCCCTTCGCGGTCCAGCAGCGCCTCCAGCTCCCCCACCAGTACCATGCTACTTCGCCCCTCGCACATCACACCCCCCCACACACCCCGTGTCCTGCCCCACCCGCACCCCCCATCTGCCCTCCCACCTTTCTCCGATGGGTGTGAGGAGAGCCCTTCGCGGTCCAGCAGCGCCTCCAGCTCCCCCACCAGTGCTGCCTCCTGCTGCCCTGCGCTCGCTGCCTCGCCTGCTGCCTGCCGTGCCTTCTTGTACACGTTGGGGGGCACCCTGGGGGGGATGGGAGAGCAAGGGGAAGGGGGGAAAGGGTTTTAAATAGGCATAAGTGACAGGGACTTCTGCCTCGCCTGCTGCCTGCCGTGCATTCTTGTACACGTTGGGGGGCACCCTGGGAATGACGGGGGAGGGACGAGAGGAGAGAAAAAAAGGGATGTTGTATAGCGGGAAAGGACACTAGGGGTGGAAAAGAGGGTATTGAAAATCGGTCGGAAGGGTGATGGGATGGAGGGTGTCTCTTGTAGCGAGGGGCTCACGACGGGAGAGGAGAGGGGGTTGATTCGAAGGCAAACGAACCTGTCATTGCTTCCTCACCTGCTTCACTGACGATATGCCAGACCATGCTACTTCCGATGGCAAGCCATTTCAGTGTTACAGTAAAACAGACGCCATGTTAGGTACAAACATACCATCACCATCACCATCGTCACCATCAGAACCATCGTCACAAAAACCACCATCACTATCATTCCTGCAGCATAAGCCTGCAGCACCTGCATCCTGAGCCCTGCAGTTTGTGCACCTGCCACACTCGCTCCTGCTGCTCCTGAGGCACCCCCAGAGCTCGCTACCACTGCCGCTGGCGCCTCACCTCAGCCCACATGCCTGGAACACCTTCTTTAACCTCTCCACCGCTGCACTGCGCGGTGCTGCTGCTGATGACTGCAGTGCCAAGGGGGGCGGGCGCACGGGAGGGGAGGGGACGGGAGGGGAGGCAAGGGGCGAGAGGGTGAATTCGGGAGGGGGGGGGAAGGTGCGAGAGGGTTTGAAGGGAGATGGGGAAACATATGACTCCGATGAGGGAAGAAGGACGGGCAGATTGGTAAAGAGGACGGTATGAAACTGCCCATGCAGACGGGACCGTATCGTCTTTCGCCGCAGATGCAGGAACACAAGTTCCATGCTCATACTTATCGCATAGTCTTGTCACTCCTCACACACAGAAATCAGGACTGACACCTTCGTCAGGCACCTTTGCAGGAGACACACACAAACAACAAACAAGAAACCCTTGAAAAACAAGGAAACAAACAAGCACGCAAACATGTAAACATGTAAACATGTATTGCCACGCATTTTCCCTTCCCAGTGACCCTCGCCTGCTTCCTCACCTTGCTACTGCCACTGCCCCTGCTCCTCCCACTTGACTTCCGTCTGTCCCTCTCGTCATCTCCACTACTCCCCTCCTCCTCCTCTCCCTCCGCGTCCCCTTCCTCGTCATCGTCATCCCCCCCTCGCTTGCCCTTTCCCACTGCACGCTTCTCCTTCCTCTTCTTCCCCTTCTTCCTACTTCTCTCCTCCTCCTCGCTGTCTTCATAATCTGCCTCCTCCTGCTCCTCCTCCTCCTCCTCCTCCTCCTCCACGCCCTCTTGTAACGCCGTTTCTTCGTCCCTTTCCTAGGCTTCTCTTCTTCCCCCTCCTCTTCCTCCTCTTCCTCCTCCTCTTCCTCCTCCTCCTCCTCCTCCTCCCCCTCCGGCCTCTCCTCTTCCTCATCCTTCTCACCATTAGCCTCGTTCCCCTCCCTCCCTTTCTCCGCGCTGTTTCCCTCATTCCCCTCAACATCCCTCTCCTCGCTTCCCACTTCTCCCCTCACTTCCTGCTCCTTCTCCTCCTCCTCCTCCTCCTCCTCCTCCCCTTGCGACCTTGCTGTTTATCCTTCCCGCCAGCCTTCTTGCCTGCCTTTGGGGGCTTCGACCCACCGCCCACCTTCTGACCGCCTCTTTCTTGTTCCCCTTTGCCGTCCTTCTCGTCCTTCTCGCCTTGTCCCTCATCGGCATCCCCCTCGTCAGAAAACAACTGCACGCATGGCCGGTCAAGCCCAGTGGGACGGGCAGGATGCGGGCAGGATGCAAAACAATATGCTAAGCAATTACGAAACTTTTTTTTTTTGCCTTTTGCCTTTCCTTTCTAAACCTCGGTGCACAATGCAAGCCTAGTGCGCTGCACTTCACTCTCCGCATGCATCATCCAGGCAACTGCATCATCACCCCGCGCGCACCTGGTCAACGAGATCGCGCGCGCACCTGGTCAACGAGATCGCGCGCGCACCTGGTCAACGAGGTCGCGCACGAGGTCCTTGTGCGCGTTCAGCGCGCCCGCCGCCAGCCCCATGTCTCCCTCCAGCGCCAACCGCACGGCCTTGAGCGTCATGGTGCTGCGCGGAAGCAAAGGGGGGAGATGGGGGAAGGAGTCTTCTCTCGTCTCGTCTCGTCTCGTCTCATCTCGTAGCTCGTCTCCTCTCGTTTCCTCTCGTCTCCCGCGTCTCCTCTCGTCTCCTCTCGTCTCCTCTCGTCTCCTCTCGTCTCCTCTCGTCTCCTCTCGTCTCCTCTCGTCTCTTCTCGCCCCCTCTCCTCATCTCGCGCCCGCTCTCGTTTCATGGCGTCTCATCTGCGCTGCACAGTCACTTGCCGAGCCCCACCCGCAAAAGCCGCCGCGCAAGCTAACGACAGGATATGCAAGCAGTTCGGCCCTTTGGCGGTACGAGCCCTTTGCGGGAGTGAACTCACTCGGCTTGCTGCTTGAAATCATCGGCGCGCCGACTGAAAGCCGCTTTAATCTCATCCGCCTTCACGGCGCCCATGCTTCCTCGCGTCGCGAAGGGGGGCGAGTCGAGGCGCGCTTCTGCTTCGAAAGAGGAACGGGGCGGCGGCGACGGTACGAGTAGAAACGAACCTAGGCAATCTACGGGAGCAGAAAGACAGTTATGAATGCTAAAAGGCGGAACGGTGCACTGTCGATGTCTGGTACTTCTGCTCCTCCTGCCCCTCCACAGTCCTCACGGACAGGAGATCGAAGTTCGGAGAGTTGGGAGGGAGGACAAGGAGCGAGGGTAGCGGTTTTGGTAGAGAGACACACCCCGAGCTGTTTTGAATGTTTGAACAGAATGGTTGAACTCGCTATGCTCCAACAGCACCGGTACTACAGTCTAGTATTATTGTAATGAATATGAATTCATTACTGTAAAGGGTGCTCCTAGCGAGGACGACCCGAAACCTTAGCAACAATTTGGGTTCGGCCTACACTTCGGCCGAACCACATTCCAAATCGCCCCGCACCAATCGCAATGCTTCCAAACCCACCCACGCCCCGAGGTCCACACCTACCGTGTATTCGTCCTATAAATGCTCGCTTTACTTGTACTATCGTAATTCTGGATTCACAAACTCTTTATAAAGTCTTCCGCGCGCTCTGTTTAGTACGACTTTATGGCATAAGAAGTAACCTGTTTTTTGGCACTCCAAACTGTTACGATACGGAATACCGTAGTTGAATAAACATTCCTAAGTAACGAATCCTTAACGCGAAGATGACTGCAGCGAGGACGAAAGACCAAGCGACAAGACCAGGCCCCGTGCTAGGATTTGGGGCACCCTGAGGCCTCAGGGCACCTTTCCAGAATCCTAAAACATGCCTTGATTTGTCAGGGCAAATTTTCAAAGCCTTCCAGTAGTTTCAGGGCTTTTGTAGAAATTAATCCTGACCTGTCAAGGCAAAAAAAACGAGTGTTCAGGGTTTTGATTCAATCCAAGCAAAGGAACCCCCCCAAAGCCGCTCGACTCCCGACCGATGCCCATGGCCCCGCGCAATGCATGCTGAGGCGAACCGGAAACTGCAGCTGCCTTCTTCATGCTGCCCGCCCCCCCCGCCCCCCCCTCGCGCAATCCTCTCCCCCCTAAAAAATCGCGTCAGTGCAAGCCTCGACATTCATCCTGAAGCTACAGGGAAGAACGTCGCGACCATTCTGATTTTCCAGGGCATTTCGAATTACATCATCCTTAGATCACAAGGTAAAAGTTGGCACCATTCTGAAATCACAGAGCAAATTCAAAATCACATCCTGAAACCAAGGTAATCACGATGTTTTGCCCTGATATCGTGGGCAGTGCCCTAGATATCAGACTTTGGAGTCTGATTCAGAGTCCGTTCAGACTTTTTTTTTGTACCTAGTCTGAACTCAAAGAATTTTTTTATGCACCCTGTCTGATTTTTCAGAGTTTTTTTAACTGACTTGTCTGAAATTTCAGAGTAATCATAGTAGTGTAGGCTGAGCCTCAGACTTGTATCGGGGGTCCACTCTGAAACCAGTTATACAGGGGTTTCCGCCAGCCTGAATGAAAGGTTATCGGAACGAAACTTCCTCGAAACTTCTTTTCGATACACCCACGTGTGATTTCACTGTTAGTTCAACCATTCCTGTCCGTTCATTCTGACATGGTTTCAGAGCAGGTCCGTCACTAGGACCGTTTTAGGGCCCACCGTTACCTACCTACCTGTTGACAGAACTAGGCAAGAAAGAATTGAAAGGAGAGGGGTTGAACTAGCAGGCAGTTGAGTACAAATAGCAAACCCTAGATTGGGCTGTACTCGCTATAGAGTACCCCACTGCAGGCTAGACAATAATAGCATTCTGACACACCCCCATAGCCAAAGTGGGGTGTAATCAGCAGAGCAAGCAAAGCAGTACAAGCTCAGGGTGGATCACAATGTCACCACACATTCTGAGCACAAGTTCAAGAAGCAATAGTTTAAAGTTCACAGTTATGAGCAAAGCTAGAGGCAGTCACAGAGGGCAAGCGAGGAGGAGGAGGGCTGGCGAGAGGAGAGAAGATGAAAGGCGCCGACTGAAGCTGCAGACACACGGGCAACAGGAGCGGCGCGCACAGTGGCTACCGAGCGCACGAGGGCACCGGACTACGGGAGTATCTGGCTCCGCGGCTACGACGAGCACACACAGGAGCAACGGACCCACAGGCGACTGGCGAAGCAGGCTCGCTGGGCTACCGAAACGCGCGAGGGCATCCGGACTACTGGCGCTGCTGGCGTCACGACGGCTACCTCCACGCAATCTCCCCCGACCGTCCCACGCCCCTCTCACACACCCCCTGCTGACACCCTAGCTCCACTCCGACGGTACCCCCCTTAAACCCCAAACCCTAGGCTCCCACACACCACCCCCCTCAGCGGCAGCTGTAGCAGAGGGAGACGAGGGAGGAGGAGGAGCAGGGGGAGGAACTCACAACCGACACCCCCATAGCCGCCACCCCCACACTCTTCACCCCCAAACCCTAATTTAGGAGAACGGGCTGTAGGAGGGGTGAGGCGCCGGTAGAAGCACGGGGGACAGTGGAGAGGGCAGGAGCAGCGAGGAACGGGCCGCCCACGGGCCTGGTAGAGCCGCCCGAACCGCGCGCAGGCGGCCCGAGCCGCGCGCGGGCCTGGCGCTTCCCGTACGGGCCGCGCGCGTGCCTGGCGCAGCCCGTACGGGCCGCGCGCGGGCCTGGCGCAGCCCGTACGGGCCGCGCGCGGGCCTGGCGCAGCCCGTACGGGCCGCGCGCAGGCCTGGCGCAGCCCGTACGGGCCGCGTGCCGGGTGTACGGGCCGCGCGCAGGCCACGACGGGCGACGGGGGGCGACGCGCGGGTCCCCGTCGCCCGTCGCAGCGCCTCCCGGGGGCGACGTGCCGAGTGACGGGGCAGGAACCCGCCGCGCGCCTCGGGGCACACGGCGGGCAGAGAACCGCCGCGCGCCTCGGGGCGCACGGCGGGCAGAAAACCGCCGCGTGCCTCGGGGCGCACGGCGGGCTGAAAACCCTAGTTTCGACGCCGCGCGCCACGGGGCGCGCGGCGGACAGGGAGTAGCAGTAGCAGTAGCAGTAGCAGCGGAAGGCTTAGGTGGTGGGCCCACCCACAGGATCGACCCAGGAGGGTCGACCTGCTCTGATAGCATGTTGACAGAACTAGGCAAGAAAGAATTGAAAGGAGAGGGGTTGAACTAGCAGGCAGTTGAGTACAAATAGCAAACCCTAGATTGGGCTGTACTCGCTATAGAGTACCCCACTGCAGGCTAGACAATAATAGCATTCTGACACTACCTACCTACCTACCGTGCACCCTCGTGCGCCAACGCGCCCTCGTGCGCCTTCTACCTACCGCGCGCGCGCAGCCCGCCAGCCACCCGCGCGCGGCTCGTCTTTTTTTTTTTTTAAACGCGCGCGACCCGCTAGCCGCCCGCGCGCGGTCGATTTTTCGCGCGCGACCCGCTAGCCGCCCGCGCGCGGCCGTTTCTTCGCGCGCGGCCCCGCGCGCTGCCCGCAAGCTGCTCGCGCGCTGCCTGTGCGCCGCTGCCCGCGCGCCTGTGCGCTCGCTGCCGCGCTCGCTGACGCGCCCGCTGCTGCAGCCGCCCGTCACCTGCTCCGCGGTCGCGCGCCGCTGCAGCTCCTGCTGTCGTCGCCAGCTGCCGCCTGTGCGCCCGTGCGCCACTGCTGCTGCCGCTGCCCGCGCGCCGCTGCCTCTGCTCTAAGCCCGCGCGCTGCTGCCACCCGTGCACCGCTGCAGCTCCTGCTGCCGCGCTCCCTACTACTGCCGCCCGCGCCTCTCCTAGCGGCCCCGCCGGCCGGTCGATTCCGCCTGCGTCCCACCTAGTAGCCCCGCCGGACCTATCGACCCCGCCCGCCCTCCGCATAGAGGCCCCGCTGGACCTGTTGACCCTGCGCACACCTTTCAAGCGGCCTTGTTACTACTGCTACTACTGCTACCACTACTGTTTCTACTACTACTGCTACTGTCACTATGGCTAGTCCTACCGTACTCGCTTTCGATGCCGAGGGCCGTCCAGTGAAGTTCGAAACCTGGCTAGATGACCTGCACCTTTTCCTACAGCTCACTGCCAAGGAGGATATCTCACTGTACGACCACGCCCTAGGCCATGCTACTGCCCCTGACACTTCTGCTGACAGCACTCTGCGCTCCCAGTGGCAGACTCGTGACGCGCACGCTCGCTTCGCTATTCGCAACTCCCTACCGCTAGACGAGCGCGAGCACTTCGGCCAGTGCAAGACTGCTAAGGAACTGTACACAGCCGTAGTTGCTCGTTACTCCTCACCGGCTTCTGCTACACTAGGCCGCCTCTCACTGCCCTACCTGTTCCCCGATCTGGCCTCCTTTCACACTGTTGCTGACCTCATCACCCACCTCAAGACTAGTGAGGCCCGCTTTCGCGCTGCTATGCCTACCGAGTTCCTTGCTACCAACCCCCCCCCCCCTCTGGCTCACTCTCTACCACATTGTTACCCGCCTCCCTGACTCTCTGCGCGCAGTCAGGGATTCCTTTCTAGCTCGCTCCCCTACTGAGCTCACCATTGCCCTCCTCGAGAAGGACCTACTTGCAGCTGAGGCGAGCATCGTCGCCGTAGGTGCCTCTCGTGGCGAGCCCCGCACCCCCTTCTTTGAGGGGTGTTCCCCTTCCCCCCTTCTCCCCTCTGTCGCCTCTGCTGCTGCTGTCGACCTCCTTGGTGCTGAGAAGGTCGGGACCGCGTCTGCTCCGAGCGGGCGCCGCAGGAGCAAGGGGGGCAAGGGTGGAGGTGGTGGCGGGGGAGGCGGGGGTGGTGGCGGTGGGGGTGGAGGTGGGACTGGAGAGGCTAGTGGCGGCAGTGGGGGTGGTGACAGCAGCGGCGGGAGCAGTGGCAGGGGCGGAGGCGGCAACGTAGGCGGAGGTGGTCGTGGCGGCGGCAGGGGTGGAGGTGGCCGAGGCGGTGACGGCGGCGGTGGTGGTCGTGGAGGCGCTGGCGGTGGCCAGAGCCAAC